AACCGGAAGTGGCGCTGTGGCTCAAGTGGTAGAGCGCTTGCCTTGAGCTGAAGAGCTGAGGGACAGCGCCCAGGCCCAGAGTTCAAGCCCCACGACCAACAACAACAACAAAAAAATCATCCTGGGTAGAAAAGTCTGTGAGACTCTTATCTCCAATTAACCACCAAAAGCCAGAAGTGGAGTTATGGCTCAAGCAGTAGAGCCCCAGCCTTGACTAAAAAAAAAAAAAAAAAAAGCCAAATGAGAACCAGATCTGAGTTCAAACCCCAGTATTGGCACACACAACAATAAAATAATTAAAAACAAGAACTAAAAAAGCAATACTGTTGGGCTATGAAAGCACACAACACTCAGACACGGAAAACTCAGTAGTGTATGTAACTCGAGTTACAGAAGGACCCCATGTTTTCAAAACAATACTTGATTAGTTAAATAATGCACCCAATTCCTCTTCACCTCAGACTGAATAAAGGCCAGTTGGGTTCATCATGATGACTTACCCTGAAGGGCTTCTGTGTCGTCGTCTGAAAACCTGAAATTGGGGAAGAGCAAGGCCAGCTCTCTGCTGGCCTCTTCTCTGTTCCAGCTCCCGTGGACCGCGTTGAATGGCATTTCTGTGCCGTACTGAGCCCGGAGACTGGGGATATTGGCCAAATACAAAAAAGAAATGAGTGCTGGGCGCCAGTGGCTCACGCCTGCAATCCTAGCTACTAAGGAGGCTGAGATCTGAGGATTGCCATTCAAAGCCAGCCCAGGCAGGAAAGGCCATGAGACTCTTAGCTCCAATAAACCACCAGAAAATCGGAAGTGGCACTGCGGCTCAAGTGGTAGAGCTCTCGCCTTGAGCTGAAGAGCTGAGGGGCAGCGCCCAGGCCCAGAGTTCAAGCCCCAAGACTGACAGGAAAAAACTAGATGAGTGTGTCCTTTGGAATATACCAATATGGTTACCAATTACCAGTGAGTTTCTGTGGAACTGCTTTCTCTTTGTAGGAAAAAACAACAACAACAAAAATCCAGAATGCCAGCTCCGAAAGCTAGAACAGCAACACTCGGCCATGTGCTTAACATCTGGGCCTTGTCACATTCCAGCACAGCCCCAAGAGGAAGGCTCTGCCATGCCCACGCTGACCATGTGAGTAGACAGAAGCATCTGAGCTGCCATTTTGTTCGTGTTGCCCCCAAGAGCTCCGTACCATGCTGAGGGCTTCAGCTTTGCTCCTGCTGAGCTAGTTAGTCCTCACAGTAACCCCATACCTTATTGCTAGCAAGACTTGGGTGCAAGTACTGTGCTGAAAGCCTCTGCCTTTTCAACGTGGTTGTTCATGCACCCATTGTACAGATGAGAGACCTGAGCCTGAGGAGGGATGTGCTCTAGGCATCTTAGAACGGCAAGGGCCAGGTGCTGGTGGCTCATGCCCGTCATCCTAGCTACTCAGGAGGCTGAGATACCAGCATTGTGGTTCAAAGCCAGCCTGGGCAAGAAAGTCTGTGAGACTCTTTTATCTCCAATGAACTACCAGCAAAGCAGAGGTGGAGCTGTGGCTCCAAGTGGTAGAGCAAATGAGCTCAGGGATAGCACCCAGGCCCCATGACCAACCCCCTCCACCCCATCCCCCCCCAAAAAAAATACTGCAAAGGGACAAGTACAGCTCCTTGGTCTCTTGCTAAGTTCCTTTTGGTTGTGGTAGTGTGGGTTTGACATTGGTGACACCAGGGTAACTACTCACAGAGGCAAGAAGCAAGGCATCTGTCTAGTGCATCGTGCTGGACAGGATACTGAGACATCAGACCCTTGGGTCACCCAGGGTGGACATTGGAAGTGGAAGGGGTCGAGTCTAGACCACAGACCATTCCCCAGAGAGTCTGACTTGGCAGGCTTAAGTGCGATCCTGGAATCTACTTCCGGGGACCGTGTGGTGGGGACGTTGGCTTTGACCGGGGCAGAGGGACCGCGGCTGGTGACATCACCTTTCAGGTTGCTCCCTCCTGGCTACATCCGGGTCACAAGGTCCCATGAGGCCTCTCCAGGCACTGACCACATCCTGGGAGTCTTCGGTCCTGGTGAGGACCAGGAGGCGGCTGGGCCCGCTGCACATGTGGCGGACCAGCTTTTCCACTGTCTCCTAGACACAATGACAGACCACCACCACCCCCAGCATGGGAGAGAGTTAGTAAGCGGTCTTGTCACCTTTCCCCATGCCCATAGATAAGAGGTCCCTGCCTTTGGGCATCTTGGCGGGGATGATCAGCCACCTATATTGTGACAGGATGTAGTTACAATAAGCCGGACAGAAGTGTGTCGAGGACCAAATGAAACCAAGCACCAGTGGCTCACACCTGTCCTAGCTATTCAGGAGGCTGAGAACTGAGGATCATGGTTCAAAGCCAGCACGGGCAGGAAAGCCCATGGGACTCTTATCTCCAATGAAGCACCAGAAAACCGGAAGTAGCGCTGTGGCTCCAAGTGGTAGAGCGCTCGCCTTGAGCTGAAGAGCGGAGAGCTCAAGGACAAACCAACCACAAACAGCAACCAGCCCATGGCTGTTCCCTTTCACTTCATTTGGCCCTAGTTTGACTGATTTTTATCCCCCAACCTGACCAGTAGGTGGTGCTGTAACTCAAGCCAGGTCAAACAGACTCCCAAGTAGATGTTTAAAGTGGCAGTTGGTCATGTCTTAAGGGCTAATGCCTGAGGCTTTGGTTTCTGATTTTGTTTGTTTGTTTGTTTTGTTTGTTTTGTTTTGGACTCTGGGCCCGAGAGCTCTTCAGCTCAAGGCAAGCGCCCTACCACTTTGAGCCACTAACTCCACTTAATGGTTAATAGTTCATTGGACATAAGTGTCTCACCGACTTTCCTGCCCAGGCTAGCTTCGAACTTCGATCTCAGCCTCCTGAGTAGCTAGGATTACAGATGTGAGCCACCGGCGCCCCTAGTGTGCTTTTCTTATAGGATCTTGTGCTAACTTTGGTTAGGCTGGCCTTGGACAGCAATTCTCCTAACTCTGCTTCCAGAGTAGCACACCTGACTCTTCCAGCCGGGACTCATGACCACTTCCTGTTCCTATAACCTGCTCTCCACAGTAGTCTAACTTCTCTCACACGACTGCCAGTGTGTGTGCATAGTGCTGGGGGGCGAGGAGAGATGAGTAGAGAGCCCGATACCTCACCGGCCCTGTGTTGGTAGAAAAGTCGCATTTCCCTCTCTGTCAGTACTCTCTCTTCATTTACCAGAATGTCGAACCCAGCTTCCTGGATCTGTAAAATACACATGAGGAGGCTGTTAGGGTAGATCAAGTCCCAGTCAGAGTTGACATCTCCATTTCCTCAACAGGAAGTTGAGTTGCCTCTCAGAAGCTTGCTTTCCCCAAAGGAGAATGCTACTCCCCCATTTTTTCCCCATGTCCCCCTTTTGTCAGTCGTGGGGCTTGAACTCTGGGTCTGGGCGCTGTCCCACAGCTCTTCAGCTCAAGGCGAGCGCTCTACCACTTGAGCCACAGCGCCACTTCTGGCTTTTTCTGCTTATGTGGTATTGAGGAATCGAACCCAGGGCCTCATGCATGCGAGGTGAGCGCTCTACCACTGAGCCACCTTCCCAGCCCCCAGCCCCTCCTGCTTATCTACCAGAGAGGCCTTGAGGATCTGCACAGGTGAAGTGCTGTCTCGCTCACCTTCATAATAATCTCATCCATCTTCCCGTGGACCACTGCATCCGGCTTAATGATTGCCAAGGTGCAGGTCTGATCTATAGACACTGAAGTGAACACAGGGAAGATGTTAGTCGCTGGTATTGGAGACTCCCAGGAGGCCATTTGCCTCTTCTCCAAGGCTCTAGGGCCTCAAAAGCCAGGCACAGGCTGGCAATCCCAGGTTCCCCTCCCCTGGCTTCTGACTGGGCCCTGCAGATCTGGAGTCTAGTAGAGTCTAGTCTGAACGAGGCTTGGACTGCCACTTCTGCCTGGCTAAGAGCAAGAGAGACTGACTCATGCAGGGAGGGCAGCAGCTCACGCCTGCCATCCTTGTTACTCAGGAGGCAAAGGTCTGAGGATCACAATTCAAAGCCAAGCCAGGCAGGAAAGTCCATGGGACTCCTGTTTCCAGTTACCAGCCAAAAGCCGAAGTAGACACCTGGCTCAAGTGGCAAGAGGGTTTGCCACAGCACTCAGGCCCTGAATTCAAGCCCCAGTACCAAAAATAAACAGACAGAGACAGAGACAAACAGATAGACAGACATAGATAGATGATGGAAGGAGATAGATAAATAGATAGCCAGCCAGCCAGGCAGACAAACAGCCAGACAGATTATTTGAGATCAGAAACCCAGAAACAAACTGAATGAGTTGGCCTAGGGCTGGGTCCCAGTCACCCCCATCCTTTCTGGTCTCCCTCTTGTGATTGTAGGGTTCTGACTGCTATCTGCCCTGTGCTGCTCATGCTGTTCTAGCTCCTTGCCCTCTCCTCCTTTGGCTTCTCCAGCCTCACGGGCAATAATGGCTGCCCCAAGTCCTGAATGTTCACCGGCTCCAGCTCTCAGGGTCCCAGTTCAAGGGTTCCTGAGACAAGACCAAAGTGACCAGCTTTGGCGGGGAGGGGGAAGAGGTTGCTTTTTGTTTTGTTTTTTTAATTGCATTTTGGAGTTCCTTTGTTGTTGGTGGGTAGTGTGAGGGATATACCTCCCAGAGCCTATTGCATGCCTGTTGAACTGCTTACTTTTGAACAGCATTCACAGTGGGGAAATAAATGGATACAAGATGTTTGCTGAAGCCGGGCGATTAGAGATAAGCACATTTCAAGGACTTCATCTCCTCAGGGTTCAGATTGCTCAATAAGCCGATGTATCACGTGTGTAAAACCCACATCCAGTCTGAGTGTGCCTTGCTCAGTTCCTCTGCAACTCACCTAAGTCCTCGCCGCCCCCACCGTATTCATCTTGGGAAAACCATTCGTCTCTGTCAGAAAGCACCTCGTCTTTAATCTAGTACAAGTGGGTCATGAGCAGAGAGGTAGTTAGCCACTTAGAAATACCACAAAAAGAACAATAAAATGGGGCCAGGCATTGGTAGCTCATGCCTGTCATCCTAGCTACTCAAGAGGATGAGATGTTGTAAGGATCACATTTTGAGGCCTGCTGGACAAGGAAGTCTATGATACTTCTTTTTTGTTTGTTTGTGCCAGTCCTGGGGCTTGATCTCAGGGCCTGGGCACTGTCCCTGAGCTTCTTTAGCTCAAGGCTTGAGCCACAGCACCACTTCTAGCTTTTTCTATGTATGTGGTACTGAGGAATCAAACCTGGGGCTTCATGCGTGCTAAGCAAGCACTCTGCCGCTGAGCCACATTCCCAGCCCTCTGTGACACTCTTATCTCCAATTAATTACTAAGAAGCCAGAAATGGTACTGTGGCTGAAAATGGTAGAGTGCTAGCTTTGAGCACAAATGCTAAAGGAGAGTGTCCAGTCCAGAGTTCAATCCTGAGGACCAGTACACAGACACACTTATACACACACACACCAATGGAATGTAAATAACTCAAATATAGAGCAGAAAGGAAGGGGAGTTGCAGATTCTAAGTCTTGGAGACTTTACAAGATCCTTAGTCGTTGAGGATCAAGTGAGAAAATAGGGGGAATGCATGGGGACCTTATATTTTACATTCTGCTTCTCTTCCTGAGCACTAGAGGCTAAAGAAGAAAAGAGTAGACATTTTGTTGAGAAGATAAAAGTATTGAAATGTAAATACATCCGAAATGATAGGCTGTACCGTGCAGAGAAGCAAAGAGATAATTATTTTCCCTGGAGGAGGCCCAGGAAAATGAAAGGTAAACAAGAAAATGTATTCGCTTCTGATCCAGTCTATTCAACAGAGTGAGCCGTGCTGTTTTCAAGTTGAATATGAATCCCTTGGGTCCATGACCAGCTGCTGGTTCACACCTGTCATCATCCTAGCTACTCAGAAGACAGAGATGGATCAATGTTGGAGGCCAATTGGGTCCAAAAGTTTTCAAGACCTCATCTCAACCAATAGCTGGGCTCTGTGATACCTGGTATAGACAGGCCTGGGCGAGCATGCTAGTGAGCCTGTGCTTGGGGAGGTGACCTCACTCACCACTTTGCGTTCTCTGCCGTCTGTCAGCACCCTCTTTTCAGCCTCCAGCTGGTTGAGGATGGTTTTCTGCAGGAGTGGGGCATTCGCGCCCCTGACCACAGCCACCAGCTCTCCCCCCTGCAAAAGCGATGTAGTGCACACACCTGAAGTCCCTTCCTCCGGAGACCAAGTGACAGTTTACAACTGCGCCCCCCGTCCAAGGTCCATCCACCCCAGGCCCAAAGCCTCCACCCTCCCTCCTTGTGTTGGAATCCACCTCTGATGCTGGGGTTTTTCCCAGTGGCAAGCCTCTCGGGTTCTAGAAAGCTCCTGGTTCTAGGATTCTTCTTCTCTCGGGGCTTTACTTTCTACCCCATGTTCCTCCTTCCAGAACTGCCTCCAGAGAGGATCACTACACACCTGTAACTCAGTATGGCTGATATTTATTTAACAAGAACACCTTCTCTGAAAAGACCAGTCATCAGCCGGGCATAGTGGCTCAGACCTGTAACCCTGGCAACTTGGGAGGCTGGGTATCTGAAGGCTGCCTAAACAACAATTAAAAGTCTGCTAGACCCCATCTCTAAAATATAATCAGCAAAAAGCAGGGCTGGGAAAATGGCTCAAGTGGTAGAGCGCCAGCCAAGCAAGTAAGCTAAGCAAGTATAAGGCCTTGAGTTCAAATCCTAGTCCCAAGAAAGAAAAGGCAGGCAGGCAGGCAGACAAGCAAAAGAAGGAAGGAAAGGACGGTACATGGAAGTTTCAAGTGCTTTTTTACGTGATCTATCTGGAGAGAGGGATGAGCAAGAACTACCTCAGGGCATGTGTCACTGTGTTTTTGAAAGTATAAAGCAAAACGCTCCAGGGGACGTGTCCCTTGTTTGGATCACTGAGACTACAGTGCATCTGCTTTGAATGTTGAGGATTTTCAATCATCAACTAGTTCCCATTCTGCAGATATACTCACTGCATAAAACAGAAAGGTCGGCTCACACTTCCCTCGGTATTTTTCCAGCACCTCAAGACAGTCTGCCTCTGCCTAAAGAAAAACAAACCATCAGCAGACCCACTGGGTGCCACATACAGGTCTGGGCCACGGGAGCTCTATGCCCTTGCCCGACCTTCCCAGCTCAGCCTCCTGCTGCTTCTGATCAGGACCATCCCTGTCAGCACATTGGTGACAGTTGTGACAGTCACCAGAAGAACCAAGAGGAGGAAACACAGCCAGGCATCAGTGGCTCACATCTACAACCCTCGCTGCTCAGGGGGCTGAGGTCTGAGGATTCAGGTTCAAAAAGCCAGCCCAAGCAGGAAAGTTCTCTGAGACTCTTATCTCCAATTAGCAAGCAGAGAGCCAGATGTGGACCTGTAGTTCAAGTAGCAGAGCACCAGCCTTGAGCTGAAAAAGCTAAGAGAGAGTGACTAGGTTTAAGTTTAGTCCCAGTCCTGGTGTGTGTGTGTGTGCGTGCGCGCGCAAACATGCAGATGCAAATGTTGCTCCTGCACAAGGAGGAGGAGGGAGGAGCGGAGGGAGGGAGGGAGGGAGAAGAAGGGCCTGAGCTATAAGGACTGTAAGAATTGGAGGCCTCAGAGCCTTTGCATTCTGGTGAAATCAACCAACCAACCAATGATGCTGCTCAGCGACCTGCAAAAGCAGCTCGTGCTTTCTGCTCCTTAACTGGGCTTTAAATTTCCATTCATGTGTTTCAGTGTCGCGAGACTTGGCGGAGAGAGCGTCTTACTAGTGCAAAATGGAGAAGGTCCAGGTCCACCTCCATCCTCATCTTCTGGAAGAGGCTCAGCACAGGCTTGCAGGGGCCACACCAGCCTTGATGGACATCCACAACTGCGAGAAGAAGTAAGGGTTGGGGATGCTCAGTGCGTCGGCTCCACAGAAAACGCTACTCACGGTACTGTTCCTGCTTATGGTGTAACACATTCTTTAACAAATTTGAGACACATGGATAGCCAGTCCTGGGGCTTGAACTCAGGGCCTGGACACTGTCCCTGAGCTGCTTTTGCTCAAGGCTAGCGCTCTACCACTTGAGCCACAGAGCCACTTCCGGCTTTTTCTGTGTATGTGGCACTGGAGAATCGAACCCGGGCTTCATGCATGCTAGGCAAGCACACTACCACTAAGCCACCTTCCCACCCTGAAAGGTTATTGTTGACTTCCCCTTACCAGTGAGTCCTTTGGAACTGAGCATTTCTTCCCAAAGTTCCTGGGTGCTGACGTGGACCTGAAGGCAGAGGTTCAAAGGTTATGTCACGGAGACTATTTAACGTATTTCCTTCCAGATCTTTCTCTCTCTGGAATATGTATCCAAGACTTCACCCTCAGTGTTCTCTTCTCTTCTTCCCACTCCCCAGCCAAAACTACTCCCCTATGAATGAAGGGCACTGTTCTCAGACACTTCCAAATACCATGTTACAGTAGCCGGGCGCTGGTAGCTCACACCTGTCATCCTAGCTACTCAGAAGGCTGAACTCTGAGGGACTGAGGTTCAAAGCCAACACTGGGCAAGAAACTGTGTGTGTGGACTTTTATCTCTAGTTAACTACCAAAAAGCTGAAAGTCAGCCAGGTGCCAGTGGCTCATGCCTGTAATCCTACTCAGGAGGCTGAGATCTAAGAATTGTGGTTCAAAACAAGACCAGGCAGGAAAGTCTGTGAGACTCTTAACTTCCAATGAACCACAAGAAAACCAGGAGTGGCACTGTGGCTCAAGTGGTAGAGCACTAGTCTTGAGCTGAAGAGCTGAGAGACAGCATCCAGGCCCAGAGTTCAAGCCCCACGACTGACCAAAAACAAAAACAAAGAAGTCTGGATATGAATCTGTGGCTCAAAGTATCTCAGGTTAATAAACACATGTGAATGCAAAGAGCTGTGTGTCATATTCTCTGCAGTTACGTCTCGACAAGACACACAGCAGTCAGGTGGATTGTGCTGGCTCATCCTGTCTTGGCCTGAGAGTTTTGTTTTGGTGCGTGTCTAAGTCCTGTGGTTTGTATCTGCACTGGAAGCAAGAGACCTTTGCCCAGTTTGGTTTGTGTCGATTTAAGTAGAAGTTCGTCATTGCTAGGGGTCTGTAGTACTACTAGAAAGAATGGTCATTATTAGCCAGGCACCTGTGGCTCACGCCCCATGATCCTTGGTACTCAGGAGACTGAGATCTCAGGATCACGGTTCAAAATCAGCCCCGGGGAGGGGAAATAAACTCCATGAGACTCTGATCTCCCGTAAACTACCCAAAAAAAGTCAGAAGTGGAGCTGTGGCTCAAGTGGTAGAGTAGCAAGAAGCAGCTCAGGCCCTGAGTTCAAGTCTCAGGAGTGGCACAAGAGAAAAAAAAATTCAAAGTAAGAATTGCCACTTTTAATAGGAACCCCACCTGCTCCTCACCACCCTGCAACCTCACCCCAAGTGCGGGGAGCCAGCACCCCTGGACAGGCTCACCTGCAGGGCCATTTCCTTCTTCTTGCTGCCCATGGCTCTCGACGGTCAGGTGGGAGCCTTGTTATTGCGGATGTGAGGGGTTGAGAGGCCTCAGCCGTCTCTGAATCAGCCAGAGACCAGAACCTCCTTCAGACAGACCCCCCCCCACCTCCTTTTAAAGTGCTTTGGGGACCCCAGCTTCCAACAGTACTTAGTCCTCAGCACTGCACCACCCAACACAACAACCGCATCCACCAACAACTGTAGGTGCCAGCCTACGGTTGCCTGGGCAACTCAAACACCAGCTCCCTGGGCCTGGAAGTGTAGGCCACGCCCACTCCGGGCCTCAGCCAATGACAGGAGAGCCTGTGGGATGAGGGATGCTCTCATTGGCTGAAGCCTACGTCCGTCTAAGGGCACTGAGGAAAAGATCCTTCCCCTGGAGGTATGCAATTAATTG